AGTCATCAATCTCATTATAAGGGAAGGGCATTTAGGGTAGCCTCTCCTCCATGGCCTCGATTGTCAATTGGTGTCATCCTTGCAGACATCTGGAAATCTCTCTAGTGGCAGATCTCTCCTTAGACCTATAATGGATCCCTCTAATATGGTATCTCTCATTCTGCTCTCCTCTATTTCCCCAATTGAATATTTCTGCTCCTCCATTTCCTCCTCTCCCCTCCTCTTCTCCTCCTCTCATTCTGGCAGCTCCCTCTCCCCTACCCTCATGCTCCCAATTAGCTCAGGAGTTCTTGCTCCTTCCCATTCCTGGGGTCCATGCATTTTCCCCTTAGAGTCCTTCATGTTTCCTAGTTTCTTTGATGAAGAGGATTGTAGGCTGGTAATCCTTTGCTCTATAGTGTCTAAAATTCATATATGAGTGAGTACATACCATGTTTGTCTTTTTGTGACTGGGGTACCTCACTCAGGATGGTTTCTTCTAGTTCCATCCATTTGCCTGCAAATTTCAAGATTCCATTGCTTTTTTTCTGCTGAGTAGTACTCCATTGTGTAAATGTACCACATTTTCTCTATCCATTCTTCAGTTGAGGAGCATCTAGGTTGCTTCCAGTTTCTGGTTATTACAAACAATACTGCTATGACCATGGTTGCACATATGTCCTTGTTGTATGAATGTGCATTATTTGGGTATATGCCCAAAAAAGGAATTGCTGGATCTTGAGGAAGACTGATTCCAATTTTCCTGAGCAATCGCCATACTGATTTCCAAAGTGGTCTTACAAGTTCGCACTCCCACCAGCAATGGAGGAGTGTTCCTTTTTCTCCACATCCTCTCCAGCATAGACTTTCATTGGTGTTTTTGATTTTAGCCATTCTGACAGGTGTGAGGTGATATCTCAGAGTTGTTTTGAGTTGCATTTCTCTGAGGGCCAAGGATTTTGAGCACTTTTAAAAGTGTCTTTCAGCCATTTCAGATTCCTCTGTTGAGAATTCTCTATTTAGTTCTGTACCCCACTTTTTAATTTCATTGTTTGGTGTTTTGGTGGCTAGCTTCTTGAGTTCATTGTATAATTTAGAGATCAACCATCTGTCAGATGTGGGGTTGGTGAAGATCTTTTCCCATTCTGTGGGCTGTCGTTTTGTCTTACTGACTGTGCCTTTTGCCTTACAGAAGCTTCTCAGTTTTAGGAGGTCCCATTTATTAATTGAAGATCTCAATGTCTGTGCTACTGGTGTTAGGTTCAGGAAGCAGTCTCCTGTACCATTCGCTCAAGGGTATCTCCCACTTTCTCTTCTAGAAGGTTCAGTGTGGTTGGATTTATGTTGAGATCTTTGATCCATTTAGACATAAGTTTTGTGCATGGTGATAGATACAGATCTATTGTTCGAATCCAGTTGTGCCACCACCATTTGTTGAAGATGCTATCTTTCTTCCATTGTATAGATTTAGCATCTTTGTCAAAAATAAGGTGTTCATAGATGTGTGGGTTAATATCAGGGTTTTCAATTCAATTCCATTGATCTATTTGTCTATTTTTGTGTCAATACCAAGCTAATGCTCTATAATAGAGCTTGAAGTCAGGGATGGTGATGTCTCCAGAAGATTCTTTATTGTACAGCGTTTTTTTGGCTATCCTGGGTGTTTTTGTTTTTCCATATAAAGTAGAGTATTTTCTTCCAAGGTCTGTGAAGAACTGTGTTGGGATTTTGATGGGGATTGCGTTGACTCTGTAGATCACTTTTGGCAAGTTTGCCATTTTTACTCTGTTGATTCTACCTATCCAAGAGCCTGGAAGATCTTTCCATTTTCTGGTGTCTTCTTTAATTTCTTTCTTTAAAGTCTCACAGTTCTTACTGTATAGGTCTTTCACTTTTTTGGTTAGCGTTACCCCAAGATATTTTATGTTGCTTGTGGATATTGTGAAGGGTGATGTTTCTCTGATTTCTTTCTCATTGGATTTATCATCTGTATATAGTAGGGCTATTGATTTTTGAGTTAATTTTGTATCACGATACTCTGCTGAACGTGTTTATCAGCTGTAGGAGTTCCCTGGTAGAGTTTTTCGGTCACTTATGTAGACCATCATATCATCTGCAACTAGTGAAAGTTTGACTTCTTCCTTTCCAATTTGTATCCCTTTGATAGTGTCCCATAAGTTTGGGTATATCATGTCTACATTCTCATTAAATTCTAGGAAGTCTTTAATTTCATTTTTTATTTCTTCCTCAACCCAGGAATGGTGCAATTGGGGGTTATTCAATTTCCAGGAGTTTGTAGGTTTTCTGCAATTTGTACTGCTGTTGAATTCTAATCTTAAAGTGTGGTGGTCTTATAAGATACAGGGGGTTATTTCAATTCTTTGGTATCTGTGGAGGTTTGCTTTGTTGCATACTATGTGGTCAGTTTTAGAGAAGGTGCCATGTGGTGCTGAGAAGAAGGTATATTCTTTTGTGTTTGAATGGAATGTTCTATAGATATCTGTTAAACCCAGTTGGGTCATAACTTCTGTTATATCCTTTGTTTCTTTGTATCCTTTGTTTCT